TTTTTTGAGACAGAGTCTCACACTATTGCCCAGGCTGGAGTGCAATGGCACGATTTCAGCTCACTGCAACCTCTGCCTCCCGGGTTCAAGCGATTCTCCTGCTTCAACCTCCCCAGTAGCTGGGATTATAGGCACCCACCACTATGCTCAGCTAAGTTTTTGTATTTTTAGTAGAGACAGGGCTTCACTATGATGGTCAGGCTGGTTTTGAACTCCTGGCCTCATAATCTGCCTGCCTTGGCCTCCCGAATTGCTGGGATTACAGGTGTGAGTCACTGTACCTGGCCTGTGGCTCACACTTTTAATCTCAGCACTTTGGGAGGCTGAGGTGGGGGTATCACTTGAGCCCAGGAGTTTGGGACCAGCCTGGGCAACATAGCGAGACCCATCTCTAAGAAAAGGAAAGAATTCACTGGGCATTGTGGCATGCGCCTGTAGTTCCAGGTACTTGGGAGGCTGAAGTGGGAGGATCTCTTGAGCCCAGGAGCTTGAAGCTACAGTGAGCTATGATCTCACCACTGCACTCCAAGCTGAGTGTCAGAGCAAGACCCTGTCCCTCCAGAAAGAGGAAAAGGAAGGAAGGAAGAGAAGACAAGAAATAATGTTCTTCCCAAAGTCATCTCTCATGTACTTGTACCTTATTTTGGGGAGCACAACAGAGGATGGTGACCATGGTAAGAGGGACCACCCTAGACCCAGGCCCACGCTGGTGAGACCAGCCTGTCCGTGAGGCAGTCCACACAGTGCCATGTAGCACTGTCAGTGTTCACTCAAGAAACGGTCATTGTGGAGAGTGTGGTGGTACAAACGTAATAACTACTGAGATTAAATCGGCCTCTACCACTCAATGTTGCTTTACGTTGGTCACTGGACTTCTCTGAGTCTTGGTAGCCATTTCTGAAATGGGGACCATGCCAGGCGTGGTGGCTCATGCCTATAATCCTAGCACTTTGGGAGGCCGAGGCAGATGGATCACCTGAGGTCAGGAGTTCGAGACCAGCCTGGCCAACATGGTGAAACCCTGTCTCTAAAAAAAACAAAAACAAACAAAAAAAATGAAATGGGAACCATGATAACACCCACCTGATGAGGTGTAAGGAGGCACGCAGGCCATGAGGCAGGTGGTCAGGCCCTGGTGAGCTGCGGCTCTCGTGCCCATGGGAGCCCTTCTTTCCTTGGTTTGGGTGGGAGGTGCTGGGTCCTCTCAGGCTCTGTGCCTGTGATGGACACACCCCAACCATAGCCCAGGGAGGTGTGTGTGTGTGTGTCTGTGTGTGTGTGTGTGTGTGCGCGCGCGCACGCGTGTGTGTTGGGGGCGGTGGCTTTTCTTGAAACCTGGCTGAATCTCCACTTTCCTCTGTGGCTGGACAGGGAGTGGCAAGCCTAGCATCTGTCCACAGACCTCCTGACAGTGGAGGCTTGTGACGAATCTGGCTGGGTCCCAGTGTTTCCGGCCGGGTCCCCTGTTGCCCTGGGCTGCCCTTGGAGGAGCCCCGTGAGTCAGGCCACACCGAGGGCAGGAATGCATGTGTCTGCTGCAGCACCTGATGCCCCATTCCTAGGCCACACTCGGGGTGCTGCATTGGGGCTGGTGGATTGTGGGTGTGCAGGAGAGGCTGTGCTTGTCTCGCTATGGGCTGACTTCTGGGGGGACAAATCTATGCTTTTTGCCCAGGAATATGGCTGAGGTAGGCCCCCAGCAACTCCTCCCACCCCCAGGGGCATGGGTGACCTCTGGAACCCCTGGCAACTGGCCACTGAGGCTGGAGGGTGCAGGACAGCAGGGCTGGGCCTGGGGAGGCCAGGAACTCAGGGATGGTGGGCACCTGGGAAAGGGATTCAGAGTTCCGCATGGGACCTCAACCCCCGGCCTTCTCTTTCTTTCGCTTCTGTGTTGTCCTTTGTCCCCTGTGCGTCTCTTATGGGTCTTGAGCTGTGTGTGTGTTGAGAGGAGAGACTGAAGAAGGGAAGGAGAGGTGGGGGGAGGCCCGGGGGAAGGACTTCAGCTGTTCTGTCTGCTTTCTTTCTCCTTTGACTTTGTTCCAAATCCATCTCTCACTGTCCTCTCTGTGCCCAGCCTCTCCTGTCCATCCATCTGTCTGTCTCTGGGGAGGGAAGGGAAAGGGGTCCCACTGCCCCAGGCCCTGGGCTTCCATATCCTTGGGAAACCTGAGAGCAATGTTTGCCCTCATTCTCCCCCTGTGTCCCTGCCCTGGCATTCTTCCCGGCTGGCCCCCAGCCTTGGAGATAAGTATGTCCTTGACATGCTAGTCTGAGGAAGGAGGCAGAGCTCCCCCCACCCAACCTCAAAGGAAGACTACAAGCTCTTTTCACATCTTTTAGGGAGCATCTAAAAGGCACCCCTCCTTCCCTCACCTGCTGGCAACAGCTTTAGGAGGGTGTGTGGCTGAAGAGGGTCTCAGGACACCTTCTACCCCTTTCTTCCAAAACCCTCCCCTTGGCCTCAGAGGGCCGCACTCCCTGACGGTCATTATCACCCCAAACCCTCGGAGGAGGAACAGGAAGTATCCAGCCCTTGATCCTCACCCCTCCCTGGAGGCCCACTTTCCATGCCATCCACCCTCCTTCCACTTCAGTCCCTAGTAGGGGCTGGGCGGCCCCTGCTTCGCCCCAGGCGCCTCTCCACTCCATTTAGGCCCAGGCCCCGCCCCTCCCCGCAGGGACCTCAGTGGGTAATGGGCAGCCCCAGGCCCGGCGCGCCTTGACCCCGCCGCGCCCCTCTCACCTCTCACAGATCCGGAGCGGAGCAGCCCCCCCATGCTGTCTGCAGACGATGCCGAGTACCCGCGGGAGTACCGGACCCTGGGGGGCGGGGGGGGCGGGGGCAGCGGGGGCCGGCGCTTCTCCAACGTGGGGTTGGTGCACACGTCCGAGCGGAGGCACACGGTGATCGCGGCCCAGAGTCTGGAGGCGCTCAGCGGGCTCCAGAAGGCGGACGCCGACCGCAAGCGCGATGCCTTCATGGACCATCTGAAGAGCAAGTACCCGCAGCACGCCCTGGCCCTACGAGGCCAGCAGGACAGGATGCGAGAGCAGGTGAGTGGGCGACCGGCTGCGGCTGCGACTGCGGACGCGGCCAGCGGACAGGGGAGGGGGTCTGACCCAGCGCTCCGTGCTCCCAGGCTCATTCCAACTCTGGGAGGCATCTGGGGCGGAGAGGGGAGAAGGGGAGAAGTTGGGAGCTGTCCCTCCAGGGCAGTGGCCCGGGTTGGCCTTTTCTGGAGCCTGGGGAGGAAGGGGTGGGGGCTTGGCCTCCAGACCTCTCCCTGCAGTCCGGAAATTGAGAGCGTGTGTTGACTTAAAGAGCCCAGTCTCTTTAACTCAGGCTGTTTGGGCAGAACCCTTCTGGGAGGAAAGGAGAGGAGAGCCTTGGGGACTGATGTTCTGTGCCTGAGTCCATCTGGTGGTGAGATTGAGATTCTGGGGCCCGCACCTCTGTGATACGGTCCCTAAGAGAGGGTGGGGCCTTGAGAGCCTCAGTAGGCTGGGTCTGATGTGTCCCCAGTCTCTGCAACCTGCAAGAATGGAGCCCGGAAGTGGAGCCTTTGACCTCTTTCGTCCCTGTTCCACCCCGTGACTTGCTGGGTGACTTGGAGCTGGAGGCCTCCTCTCTCCGTTCCTGGGTCTCTCACCTGCCATCAGTAGGGCTTAGAGAGGAGGCTCAGGGTCTGTCTCTGGACCAGGACCTGTCTCTTTCTATAGCAGGTGGGATACTTCTTTTTTTTTTTTTTTTTTTTTTTTTTTTTTTTGTTTTTTTTTTTTTTTTTTTTGAGGCAGAGTTTCACTCTTGTGCCCAGGCTGGAGCACAATGGCATGATCTTGGCTCACTGCAACCTCTGCCTCCTCGGTCCAAGCAATTCTCCTGCCTCAGACTCCCGAGTAGCTGGGATACAGACATGCGCCACCACACCCCACCAATTTTTGTATTTTTAGTAGAGATGGGATTTCTGCATATTGGTCAGGCTGGTCTCGAACTCCTGACCTCAGGTGAACCACCCGCCTTGGCCTCCCAAAGTGCTGGGATTACAAGTGTGAGCCACCATGCCCAGCCCAGAATGCTTCCTTTTTAAACCTCTCCCAGACCCTCCGGGTCCTGAATGCATCTCTCCACCCACGGGTGAGCTTCTTGTCTGTAAGAACGTGCTTTCTGGGTCTAGCATCCTGTGTACAGTTCTGCACTGGTGAGGCGCCTGCATGGTTGCTGCATATTGGCTACTGAGACTCAGCCATCGTCCCCTCCTGGTGAAGGGACTGAGGGAAGGCACGCACATCCCATCAGCAGCCTTTCAGTCCAACCTGGGGTGTGTGTCAGTCCCTGCTCCCACACCTGTCTTGCACTGTCTCCCTTTTCCGGGTTCTACTGGATGTAGCTGGGGATGGGGAGGAGTGTCCCCACTCCCATCCTCGGGTGCAGGGAACAAGACACACTGGCACATTTCTGGTACCTTATCTGTCCCCTAGTGCCACTTCCAGTTCTGTCTGGCTTTTGCCTTTCCCCAGCTCCAAAGTCCTTCTGGGAGCAGGATGCAGATCAGGATTAGAAAGAGTTGATGAAGATGTGGCCCTCACCCTCAGGGAGCCCCTCTCATTGGGTTCTTCCTGTGTACACTGGCTTGGGGAGATGGGCAGGGGTATTCGTCATCTAGCTGGGGAGGGGAACAACCAGTTGGGAGGGGTTTAGAGGACAGAAGATCAGGTAGGCAGTCCTGATCAGGGAAGGCTTCCTGCAGGAGGAGGTATCTAAACTGGGCTTAGAAAGATGAAAAGGGTTTGCATAGGGCTAGAGGAAGAGAATGTTGTTTTCAGGAGTGGTGGGGATGTATGGCATGAGCATAGGCCTGGGTTGGTTTGGAAACTGGCACAGAGGTGCACTTGGCTGGTGAAAAGGCTCAGGTTGGAGGTAGTGGGACGTGTGGGGGCAGACTGAAAAAGTGGGGCAGATGGTGGTGGCTAGGATGGCTGTGGTTGCTTTGGGATGGGGAATAGGAGGGGAGAAGCGGGGCTGGAGGCAGGGGAAGGAGAAGACAAAGACAGTGTCTCAGGGGCGATGAAGGGGGAAGAAGGATGATGGGGATTGGGGGAAGACCAAGCCCAAGCTGCCTGGGCCTAGAAGGCAATGACAGAAAAAGCTGGGTGACAGGGAGATGTTGGTGCCTTGGAGAGAAACAGGAGGGCTGGAGGGAAATGTTTGGGGGAAGGGGAGAGGAATATGAGGAGATGGGTTGAGGCATGGGCAGGGCATTCTTGGGATGCCTTTAAGGTGCCACATGCACCAGTCAGGACTCCAAAGAGGCTGAGGCTTCAGGAGGAGAGTTGAGCACAGTCACAGCAGATACGAAGTGCACCCGGGATGCGGAGGCCATCAGGGCAGAATGGGGTCTAAGAAGGGAGAAAGCCATGATGTTTGGGGAAAGGGGACCAGGAGTGTTCTGTATCCACGAGGAAGTCCTAGGGGAAAAAGGCCCCTGGACAAGGGGCCAGCAGGAGGGTGACCAGCGCTTCAGAAGTCCAAAGGGATGGGGAGAGAGAAACCAACATGGCTACTGGCCAGGATGTGTGGGCGCGGAGAGTACCGAGAGCTTGCGTCTCCTGGTGTGGCGAAGTAATGGGCAGTTTCAGGGGTTGTGGAGATTGGGGTTGGTGGAGGATCGGGACCTATTGTGGGGAGATTTGGCCAGGAAAGGGATGAAACAGCTGGGTGGAGCTTCCAGGGGCAGCAGGCCTGGGAGGGAAGGTGTAGGCATGTCAGAGGGCCTCCTGTGTTCTGGCATGTTCAGCACAGAGTGTGGAACTCAGTGAATACTTAGGAAATGAATCAAAGCCCAGCCACCCACAATTTCATTCCTTTCTTTCACTCATTCGCTTCCCCCCTTAGAGTGTAAGTGGGCAGGATCTATGCCCCATTCACTTGCCAGGGAATGCTCGGTGCCTAAGCATGGCGCCAGCTCGGGCAGTGTTTGCGGAATGAATGAGAAATGAGGGAGGAATGAATCTGAGGACGCCAAGAGGAAAGAAGCCCGTGGGAAACAGGTCCTAGAGGAATCTGGAAGGATGGTCTTAGGTGTGGGGTGGCCTTGGAGAAGGAAGGGGGTGGAGTCACTTCCACTGAGAAACAGGAGAGAAATATGTGCTGTAGGACTGAGACAACTGGAGGGAGGTTTCTCCTGCCCAGCGGTCCCCATTTCTGTGAGGTAGGTAGTGACACCTTCAGTGAGAAGGGATGAAAGCAGGGGAAAGGGAGATGGTAAGGAGCGGCTTCCTTGCCAGTATGCAGAGGGGAAGCCTAGAATTGGACACGAGGCGGGGCATAGTGGCTCACACCTGTAATTCCAGCATTTGGGAGGCTGAGGCAGGTGGAGTGTTGAGCCCAGCCCAGGAGTTTGAGACCAGCCTAGGCAATGCGGCTGTCTCTACAAAAAATGTTGTTTTAATTAGCTGGGCATGGTGGTATGCCCCTGTAGTCCTAGCTACTCAGGAGGCTGAGGTGGGAGGATCACTTGAGCCCAGGAGATTAAGGCTGCAGTGAGCCGTGATCATGCCACTGCACTCCAGCCTGAGTGACAGAGTGAGAACTTGTCTCAAAAAAAAACAAAAACAAAAAAAAACTGGAGATGTGGATTTCAGGAGTGTCTGATAGGGAAGGCCCTGCCCTGGGCTCAGGGAACCCCCAGGTCTAACATGAAAGGCAGCCATCCAGAAACAGAGCAGGGCTCTAGTTAGAGAGAGATCCAGCCTAAGTAAGGGACTTGCCAGCGTCACTAGACCCGTCTGCAGTATGAGCTCTGTGCCAAGGCTTGCCCCAAGAGTGCCCTCCCTCCCAGTCCCAGTCCCCCAGCGGCTCCTGCCCGCTTCCCCTAATGGGGTGTCCCCCGCTTCGCACACACAGGTTGGCGGCTGGACCGTGGACCCCGTGTGCCTTCTCAGCTCCCTCTGCTCCCACCTCCATGGCGACTCCGCCCCCTCCGGGGCTGGCCAGCCGGCCCAGGTGAGTCACCCACCTCCACCCCACCCCCCAAGCCCATGGTGGAGTTTGGCTTTGGGGAGGATTTTTTTTTGGAGGGGGGATGTTCAGGATTTTTATTTTGCAACCTTTTCTCTTTGGTGTAGGAGCCCCTATTTTCAGGAGACTTCTATGCCCCGTACTCACATCTGCCTGATCGTCTAATCCCCTGCCACTACCTCCCCACGCCTGATTGGCTTTGGAGCAGGAGTTTTTGAGGGAGGATACTCAGGATTTTTTAAAAAGTTTTTGTATCCCTTTGTCCTTTAAACAGGAGTCCCATGACCTTGCTCTGTGGGTTTCATGCCCTCTTCCCACTGAGGACCATCTTATTCCCCTCTCCACACCCTCCCTTTCCATTTCTGAGCAGACCCAGCCTTCCCCGATGTCCCACCATCAAGACGTTCTGCATGAAGTCTCTCTCACCCTTCTTGCTAAGTTCATGGCTTAGTCTCTAGTTTTTAAGAGGACTTGGGCATCAAGCCATCTGTCCTGAACTTGTTCTCCTCTTCCTCATCAAGCTTCAGTGTCCCTTATGGGAGCATAGATCTTAGCTTAGACAGGGGAACAGGATACTAGGGTCCTGGGTTCATGGCTAGGCCTGGACATTGCTATGGGAGAAAAATAGGCATCTGAGGCCCCAAGTAGGCATCACAGTTGCATTGGGAAGGGGACAGCCCAGGGGAGGTCTTGGCTTGAGGCTGTTCAGCTGTAGGAGGCAGAGGAGGGGTAGTGGCAGGGAATCCAGTGGGAGCAGAGTGCTCAGGTTCTTACATACCCTGCTTCCCCCAGAGGACAAAAAGGCTTGGCTTTTTCAAGGGGAATTAAAAGAAAGAAAATTGTGACCACCTAGGAAGTGACAGGCCTTCAGAGGGAGGATGTTTTAGCCACGTGTAACTCAAGTCTAGTAACAGATTGGCACGCTTGGCATCACTCACAGGTCACTCAGCCCAATTTCATTCCCAGTTCTCAAGCCCCATCTTGGTTGAACTTTGGGGCCAAGATGGGGCTTGAGGGCAGAACAGGGATGTGTCTGCCCCCAAGGCTGGATGGCAAGTGGGACAGACTTGTCCTGAATGGCCAAGTGCATGGTGGAGACCAAAGTGGGGCTGGGACAGGGATGGCAATAGGACAGAGGACGGATATGATACGCATGGGCAGGTTGGGGCGCCTTGGCTGCCCAGAGGTCCTCCCCACATGGAGCGTCTTGGGGCTGTGATAGGGGTTGGGTGATGGACAGGAGTGAGGCTGGACTTGATGAGCTCAGTTGTCCCAGGTCGGGGGTTGGGGGCTGGAGATTTTGGCCTGTCCGCATGTGCGATCTGCTCTGATGGGGGAAGGGGGAGTACTTGAGCAGACCTTCCTCCCGGGGCTCTGTAATTAACCAGGAAAGTGTCTGTGCATAGGATCTTGTCATCACTTGATACTTGTCACACTCCCTGCCCCTAGGGCTGAGTCTGAGGTTTCCTTTTGTCAAGTTCAGGACCAGAGACTTTGGAAAGGCCAGAGCCACACAGGAGGGCAGGATCAGAGGCCATCTAGGAAACTTAGGCATCCCAGGCTTCCCAGCGTTGGCAAGGGATTAAGCCAAGGGAGAGTTAAAAGGGCAAAGGTTCACAGCGAAGACCCAGGTGGGGAGAGGCTGTGGGCTCTAAAGGTGTCAGAGCAGGAGGCAGAACACTGTCCCCTCCCTGACCCTGCACCAGGCAGGACCTTTAGGGATGGAGGCAGTGAAGAGGATCCTGGGAGGGGACCAGAGGTTGGACTCCAAGCCACAGCCACTCCCCTGGTTTCCACCAGGCTGTCTAACCTCCCTCCCTCCTGCTGCAACCCGAGTCCTGGGCGCTGGGCCGGCATATCGGGTGACCGCGGCGACGCAGCCACCAGCCTCCGCCGCTCCTCTGCGGGGCTGCGCCGGCGGGGCCGCGCCGGGGGAGGGGGCTGCGAGAGGGGATGTGCACGGCGGCGCGCTGCGCCGCGCCAGGTGGAGTCGCGGTTACCGGGGCGACCGGGGCCCGGGCTGGCTCGGCGGCGGCCGCGGCGGCTCTCGCATTGCAGCAAAGGGCACCAGCGGTGGCGGCCGCGGCTGCGGAGGCGGCCGGGGGAGAGAAGAGCCCGGGCGGGTGGGAGTAGGGGCCGCTCTCCCTCTCCCGCCCGACGCGGGACCTGGGGCTGGGGGACTCGCACGTACACCTGTGGCCGCAGGTAAGGGGGAGCGCCTGTGGGGGCCCTGGATCGCCGCCTTGGGTTGGGCGGGGGGCGGGGACACGGAGATGCGGCCCGCGGTACCGAGAGCCATTCAGGGGTGGGGGACGCCCAGGCCATTGCGGGTTCCCTATCCCTGAGAAACGCCTCCTCCCCTCCCCCACCGCATTGGGTGCCTTCAGTGTGGACCGGCCCCCACTCCAAAATCAGACTGGCGCCCCCTCCCCCAACCTCGAAAAGTCATGACCTTCCTCGCCCCCAGCGCAGCGCAGGTCCCGCAGCACCCCCCACCCACACACACACTCAGCATTGGGAAGAAGATGAGGGAATCATCCGTGCACCTGGAGGAGAGGGTCGTGCATGTACGTCGCGCTAGGGGCAGGCGCCCGAGGAGGGGGGGCGACTGGCTTAGCCCCAGCCCGGGGACGAGTGTTTACGCGGACTCTTGTTCATGGGAGTTGAAAGGTGGGTGTGTGCACCGGTGCAGCAGAGCCAGGGGATTAAGAAGCCGGTGTGGACCGTGGGTTGTCCTCCCTCCTTGGAGGATGCGTGGTCGGGGCTTGAGGTCAAGGAGGGGTCATGCGCTCACTGAACCTGCTGGGGATGCCTGCCCAGGGAGGAAGGAGACTCAGCTGGCTGGGCCAAGCCTTCCCAGGGGCCCTAGCCCCTCCTCTCCCAGGGCGCAAGGGCTGAGGGAGGAAAGACCAGCGGGGTGGGGGGGTGTGGGGGAAGGAGGAACCCTGGCTACCAGTGGCTAGGATGGAAGAGAGAGAAAGGGAGTTAACTCCTTAGCCCCCAGAGGGAAGAAGCTGTGTTTTCTTCTCACCAGGGAGTTTGAGGACTCCCCGGCCTGGCTTCCTTGGGCCTTGAGAGATGCTCCCCTCTGCTGTTTCCCGGAGCCTGGTCCCTAGGGTCCTATGCTTCCGTCTTACCCTCTTAAGACACCTCTCATTTTGTCCCAGCTCATTTAAGATTCTTCCCCACAAGTAGGCCCCTGGTGGGGTCTCCCCTATTCACCCCTTTCTTTATTTTCCCCTTTCACTGTCTTTTGGGAAGGTGAGGCCCCCTCCCTGACTGTGGGGGTGGGAGACAGCTTTGGCACTGGAAGAGTTGGCTTGGGGTGGACAGCCAGACCTTTCCTGGCCCTTCCCGCTCTCTGCCCTCCCAACTTGGGGGTTTCTGGTGCTAGGAAATTCCCAGGGAAAAGGCCCAGGAGGCTGAGCAGTGCTGGGTGCCAGGAGATGGAGGGAGTGGTGCCAGACCAGAGTATTCAGAGATCCCACCCTCCTCCCATGGCTCTGTCCTATTTTGTTGACATTCATTCGTCATCACATACTTGTTGAGTGCCTGCTATCCACCAGGCACTGTATTGGCACAGCAGGAGGAACAGACACCCCGGAAAGGGGTGAGGAGGTAAAGGGCACCGGAAGTTGGAAGGGGAGTGACTGGGAATGGCCCACCTTAGAGAACAGGGGAAGAGCCCTTTGCTCTCAGTCACCCTAGTCTGTCCCATGGGTTAAAATCCTGGAAAGGGACAGAGAAGGGGATGGATGATATCCCCAGAGGCCTCCCCCACTACAGTTTCTCTCACCAAAGACACTGAGTTGCCAAGAGACTGTGTCTTGTTCCTGGTGGGGCCAACATGAAAGAGAAGCATTCTTCCCACTCTCTGGAGGGAGGACAGAGGATGGAGGGCAGGATTCATCAGAGCCCGAAGTTCCAGGATTTTGATCTCGACATCGCTAGTGCATCCAGGTGACCAGCACAAGCACAGTTCCTCTTCCATCTTTACCCTTTGAGGGGCTTGGCTGGCCTTTCCTATGGCACTGATGCCACCCAGTCCTCTCCCTTGGCTGCCGCTAGTGACCCATCCCTTCTAGGTAACTGCCCCATGGATATGCACAGCCTTGGGACCATGGGGCAGGCCCATGTAGAGGCCATAGCCAGTGTGGCTGTGGCCAGGCCCTGTCCTTACCTCCCTCCCAGGACCACGAGGGGGGCCCCAGTCATCCGAACAAGGTACTTGAGTCTGTTGACATTGGTGGCAGGGGGGGAACAGGACATCTTGTATTTCTTCTGCATCAGAGGTTACCTCACTGACTCATAACATCTGGGACATCATAGGCATGGGACAGTGGCACCCTGACCTGGGGCTTTCTCTTTGTACATGGGTGGCTCTGAGGCCGCGCGTGTGTATGTGTCTGTGTGTGTGTGCACGCGCGCGTGTGTGTGTGCGTGTGTGTGTGTGGTGCATGCATCGCTTTGTGTGTGTTTTGATAGCCTGGGTATGTGTCTCGCTGTGAGTGGGCACCTGTGTCTCTGTTTCTGTGACTGTGGTGTTTTGAGGGTGAGTGTGAATGCCATCAGCACCTCTTGTGCTCTGTGACTGACTGGTGCTTGTGAGTATGTGAGCGAGGCAGGGGTCTTGGGGGAGGGGAACACATTTGTGTATGAGTGGGGGCGGTCTATGTGTGAATGTCTCAGTCTCTGAGTTTCTGTTTGTGTCCAGGGCTGTCTCTGACTGGGAAGCCCCTCCCTCAGTAGGGGTGCATGTGTGTTGCTCTGGGTGTGTCTGTGGAGATGTCCTTATCGGAGGATGTGTCTGAGAGTCTGTGCTCGGCTGTGCGTGAGCCTACGTGTTGTGGGAGCTGTGGGTGGCCCATGTGTGTGCCACCCATGCCTGGTGTCGTGGTGGTGGCTGGGGACTCGAGGCCTGCTCTGCGGAGCCGTCCATCACCGCTAGGTCTGCAGATGTGACTCTCCTCATAAACCTTCCGGTGCCCTCTGCCTGCCTCCACGTGTCCACTCCCTCTGCTACCCCACCTCTTCCCCAGGCCACAGGCAGCTGCCACTGGAACGTGTTTCTCAGCGCCAGGCCTTCCTACCCTCAGCACCTGCGGGCGTCCCTCACACCACTAGGGGTGGCCCCAGTCCATAGATGATTCCAGGAATTGGCTGGGACACAGACTTTGCTGTCCCCTTCTCCTGCCTGGCATGTGACTGGTTTTTATTTGTTTTCTAGAGCAAATGGTGGGGGAAGGATGAGGATGGTGGCTTAGGAGGGGGTGGTCCTGGCAAATGACCCTCTTGGTCCCAGCCCCAGCCCAGTGTCACCCCCACCACCCCAAAGGTCTGCCTTAGGTAAAGCCTCTAGCTGGAGTGCCCCTCTACGCAGCCCCTTCCCAATTCTCCCTGCCAGGAAGGCCTCCAGGTGGCCTGGGACACCCTGGCATGGTGTTCTTCCCCATGGGCACCCTTTATGTCCCTCTCCTCTGCCAGTGACTCTGAGGCCTGGGGATCTTGTCTGCTCGTGCCAGGCACCCCGGGGCCAGGCCATCTGCTGCCTCTCTCTCCCCGCTGAGGCTGGCACCGGTCAGCAGGGTGCCTCGGCTTTGCCAAGAACCAACTCAGCCCCAGAGCTGCTCCCTCCTTATCCTAAGCCATCTGGAAGGGCCTTCTGGTCTCTAGGGAAGGCATGGCGACCCTGGGTCACTGCAAATGAGGGAGACTCTCCAGCTCCCCATTCTAGGGATGCTAGGAGGGATGCGAGGAGCCCTCCTCAATCTGCCAGCCAGCCACAGTCCCCAGTCTCCCCAGCCCCCTTCACTGCCCCCAGCTCCCCAGCCATTGATTGCACAGTGAGTGAGGTTCCTGGCATCGGGCCCCTCTGCTCTGTAGTCTACATCCATCATGCTGCATGGGCCTCTGTCTCTTGGCCTTGCCCCCCAGCCTTCCTCCTCTGACCCCTGCCCCATCCACCCTGCCCCACTGCATCCACCCCTGCCCCAGGGCCTAGTTCTGATCCCACTCTGCTCCATTCAGACGCTTGTCCATGAACTTAAGTCTAAATACTTTCTCTCAACACTTACCGCCACTCATCATCTGGCCTCAGCCTCCCGCTCCCCCACCCTTTGCAGCCTAATCTGCTACTTTCCTGCCCGCACCCCAGCCAACGTGGACTAGCACCTTTCCTCAACCCTCTCTCCACTGTCTGCCCCTGGGCACTTGCCCACGTCATCCCCGCTGCCCAGCAGGCCTCTCCTCCCAGTCTCCGGCTCCTCATTTTTCCAGACCCACCTCAAATGCCACCTCTTCCAAGCACTGTTCCCTGGCCTGCCGTTTCTCTGACCCCACAGCTCAGCTTTGTCTCTGTCTCTCTTTTGACTGCCTCATGGGTTTGCTCTGTCACTGTCCTCCGTGCCTTTTCCCAGCGGTCCCTCTGCGAGGAGTCACGGTAGCACCTGCTGGGGGCCGTCCTGGGTGTTCCGGGTCTAAGTAGAGAATGGAAACAGGAGAGAATGGATGTGCCAGGCATGACTTCCTTCCTGCTCCTGGGAGGGTGGAGGGCCCATGTCCCAGGGCTGAGTCCCCTCTTTTCCCCTCCCGGCCCCCTCATAACCATCTCTTCTCTTATTTCCATCAGCAGCCAAACTACTGGAGTTTCAAGGTCAGTGTGTGATGCCTCTGCTTCCATGACATCTGCATGTGCTGTCCCTCCCCTGCCCCTGCCCCTCCCTTGCACAGGCTTTGCACCGGGTGCGCGTCTGCACGGGCACCTTCTGGTGTGGGCGGTGGGCCTTGGGCTGCAGGCTGTGGCTGCTGCTTTGGGAGAGTCCGGTTCTTCCGTCAGGGGCTTGTAGATGGAGTGGGAGTTTGGGCCACCCCTGCTGGGGATCTGGGCTAGAGATGCTCAGTTCCCAGGGCATCCCCACCCTGTGAGGGGCATTTTGGAATGACATTTCCTCCAGCCTGGAGAGATCGCTGGCTCTGAGTTAGGGACCTAGACCCTTGTTGTGGGCTCAGTTCTTTGAATTCAGATCTGACCTCCCAGGGAGGCCATGTGACTGTGATGGGCCCCTCTTCCTTCCCTTACTCTCCACCATGGGGGCTGCTCAGTGCTAGGCAGGAAACTCACGGCCCTACACCCTCAAGCCTGCTGTCTAAGTGGAGGGCTAAGCTCAGGGATAGGTGCCTTCCTGCCTCCTCCTGGGCTCTGGCCTTTCCAGAGCTGAGAGAGCTGTCTGCCTCTCCAAGAGTATCCTGCTGACCCCCGGGGAGCACCCTCAGGCACCTCTTCCATCTTCCCTGGCACCCAGGCCCAGAGCTGAGCAAACCAAGTGAGACTGCTGCTTGTCTCCTGGAGTCTCTGGCCTCCCAAGTCCCAGCATCTTGACAGCGGGTGGGAGGCATCCCTCCCAGACTCCCCAGGTGTCTTATTCGCATGCATTCTTCCTAGCACTGCAAGAAGTCCTTAAATCAGAGAGTCATGGAGTCAGAGGAGTCCTGGTGTTGAGCATAGTCTCTGGAGGAGGCAGTCGAGGGTCGTGGTTCAGTGCATGGGCCCAAGAGCCAGGCTGCATCGTGGTGAATTCCATCCAGTCTGCTGCTAACTAGCTTGGTGACCTGGGGCGTGTTACATATCCTCTCAGCCTCAGTTTCTCCTCTGTAGAGTGACAATGTCTGCATCAGAGAATTGTTGTAGATAGGGGAAAAAGCCCAGAAGTGCTGGCTCCCACCTGTAATCCCAGCGCTTTCAGAGGCCCAGGTGCATGGAACATTTGAGCCCAGGAGGTTGAGACCAGCCTGGGCAATGTAGTGAGCACTCGTATCTACAAAAAAGCTTTTTAAAAATCAGCCTAATGTGGTGCACACCTGTAGTCCCAGCTACTCTGGAGGCTGAGGTGAGAAGATCACTTGAGCCTGGGAGATTAAGGCTGCAGTGAGCTATGATCACGCCACTGCATTCCAGCCTGCGTGAAAAAAAAAAAAAAAAAAAAAAAGGAAGGGAGGCGAAAACAAACAAACAAACAACAAAAAAAGGCGGGATGCATGTTCCAGGCTCCTGGTGAGCCCAACCTGGTAGCTTACCTCATTAGCTACTGAATCATGGACTCTTGATTCTTAAACCTAGAAATCAGAATCGCCTTAGGAACTTGTCGAAAATCTCAAACCCAAGCTCCAACTCCCAGAGATTCTGGTTTAGTGAATGTGGGGTCCTGGAAAACATGTTTTTAAAAGCTCCCAGGTGATTCTTCCGTAGTCTATGTCCAACCTCTGGAATTTCAGATCCACGAGCTGCTCCCTAGAACATTCTGGTGACAGGCGCTCTCTACCTCCCATGTAGCCCCTGTCCTATCTTTGGAGAGCTCTGCTTGAATCACTGTTTTGTTCTTCTGCCATCTCCCTTATGGTGGGGACGTCCTTCTGGTGTCTCACTCTCCTCTGCCCTGCTGTCTCAGCCCAAGTATGGAGAGAAGCACCAGCAGGTTTTCCCTCTTCTCGAGAGGGTTTTCTGTACAGGCTGAGAATGCAGAGGTGCCCATGGGGCTAGGAAGTGATGGAGCAGAGAACCTGGGCATCTCTTCTCCCAGGGTTTCTGCCTTCTTGGCAGGTAACAACCCCCAGGATCCCTGCCCCGCCTCCCTTCATTCAGACCCCTGTTCCTTCTCCTTACGGGCACCTCACTCGTGTCCCCCCTGGCACTATGGCCACCCTTTACTCTTCATCACTGCTGGCTGCCTCATGCTGCCTGAATTCTGTAGCCCCTCATCCGTACCAGCCTGGCAACCACTGACCTTTTAGTTGCCAGGCAACCCCATGACCACCAGACCAGACCTGGCTCCCCACACTGCCACAGAGCTCCCAACCTTCAGCTGGGATGAAGGTGAGACAGAGGGGGGAGGGCTGGCACTGGTGGCCAGCCTAGAGCTGAGCCATATCCTCTCTGTCACAAGCACAAGTGGCCCCTCTCCCCACCCCCACCCCATTTCTATGCTGCCTTCCTCCTGCCAAGACCCACACTCACCCAGTGGTCAAGGTATTGTGCTTGAGAGGGGAAGCTCCCTGATGTCCCCACATCTGATCTATTATGGCCCCCAAACTCTCAAGGCCACCTAGGGGACAGCTGGGCATACTGCCCATCAGAGGAAGATGCTCTCCCTTTAAGAGTGCTAATCCAATTGGAACATTAAATTGAGTTAATACGAAGATGGAGATTAATTAGAGGTAAATCAGGATTTGGGGAGAGAGGGAGCTAAAGAAGAGAATAAATGATTCCTTTTAAGAGAATTTTTATTGTTGTTTTTTTTTAAATTATAAAGTGAATCTATTCATACAGTTTTGTACAGAAATCTATAAAGTAAAAAAAGAAAACTGTTAACCCTGAGATGACTAGGCTTAATGGCTTTGAGTGATTTGTTTTTAAAAATAGATAATTTGTTTTACCAAAAAAAATACAATTGGGCGACATGATTATTTCTCGACGGTATATGTATATGTGACACATATAATGCACATAACATGGAATGACATAGATCAGATTCATTATCCCACTCCCTGGAACAGTTCCTGTACAGCAACAAGATTTCTTGCCCAGGGTCTAGGACAGAATGGCAGGGGTTGTGGCCTCGAGTGACAACCCCAGGTTTCAGCAGAAAGTAGGCTCTTAAAGTGCAATTGAAATCATCCTGACTCTCCCTCCCCCACGGAGAGAGCAATCAGGCTGTCCTGTGACATCCTTCCCTACCCCCAGCCAGATATCAGCCTCAGCTACAGCTTCAGAGAAGTGGCTGTCGTGGCTCAGAGGGTCCTGGGGGAGGCTGGCTGGCTGTGTGGCAGCATGTGCCGTGCAGGGAGGGGCTGAGGCCTGGCACATGTGTCGTGTGCGCATGTGTATCACATCATACTTAACATGTGCATTGTGGGCACTGGGAAGGTCATCCGAAATCGGGGTCCAGCTGGCTTCAAGGCATTTGGGATAGTTTTCCCAGTCACCCTAAATCAAGGACATTCCCTGTGTCCAGCTCGGTGAGGGTCCACATTCCCCCAAAGCTGGGATCCTGGGGTCCCAGCTCTCTTTGCTTTCTCCCTGGGCCCTGCTTCCTACCCCCACCCCCACCCTCTGAACTCCATGAAGAATAAATTCACTGCTCACAAACCCGCCACTTAATTAATGTCTGGAACTAATGCCCCAATTTGCTCAACGATTCTGCTGCTCACCTCGGTGACAAATTTGTGTCATTGTTGTTCTTCCAAAGCTTGAAATAGCAGGCGCACCCATAGCCCCCACTCACATGGCCTCTTCTTTGGTTTCCCTGGGTCCCTGGGTCCTCTGCCCACTCCTTACCTTCGGGGTGTCCTAGGGAGGCCAAGGCTGGGAGAGGCTGGGGAACTCTTGTGGCCATGCCAGGCGTCTGTAATCTGTGTGGGTGTCGCTGGCTGGCAGGACCTCCCCAGGCCTGGATATAGGCAGTGACGAGCAAAGGGGGTTGCTTATCCTTGGTCCCTTCTCACCCTGCCCGGCCCCTGCAGACCCGCAGCTCACGCCACACTCAGGGAGCCCAGCCTGGGCTGGCAGACCAGGCGGCAAAGTTGTCATACGCCTCGGCCGAGTCGCTGGAGACCATGTCCGAGGCCGAGCTGCCCCTGGGCTTCAGCAGGATGAACCGCTTCCGACAGAGCCTGCCTCTCTCCCGCTCAGCCAGCCAGACCAAGCTGCGCTCCCCAGGTACTGCCCGCCCTGTCCACCCTCCCTCCCCACACAGGCTCCTCCCTCTGCTTTTTACTCCCTGGAGCCCCTTCCTCCCCTGCAGCACTCCAGCTGGCCTCAAGCTCTGCTCTTTCCCACAGCCCCTTCTCCCTCAGCAACCCCAGCTCTGTCCATCTCTCTCGCCCTCAGCATTCCCAGACGACCCCTTTCCCTCCAAGCCTTCTCTCTCCCTTCTGCTTCCTCTTCTGTCCCTTTCCTTCATCCCTCCCTTCTCCCCTATCTCCCTTCTCTAACTCTCTCCAACGTCTCTCTCAGCTCACTTCCCCTCAGTTTCCGCCCCACCTGCTCCTGCCCCCACTTCCATTTCCTTGTCCAAATTCCTCCAACTGCCTGGAGTCCAGTGGGTGCTTTGAGACGCTGGAGACGGCTTGGCGCCCTGGCCAGCAGCATGAGGGGTGCCTGGGTGCACCTGCATTCGGGGGCGGAGTCTGGCCTCAGACCCTGCCTCTGCGGGGCTGGCGCAGCTCCCGAAAGCTCCCGGCGGTCTCCCGGAGGGCGGAGTGGAGACGGCGGCGGCCTTGACAGCGAGGGCGGCGTCTCCTTCGCAGGGGTGCTATTCCTGCAGTTCGGGGAGGAGACTCGGCGCGTGCACATCACGCACGAGGTCAGCAGCCTGGACACGCTGCACGCACTCATCGCACACATGTTCCCGCAGAAGCTCACCATGGGCATGCTTAAGTCGCCCAATACTGCCATCCTCATCAAAGACGAGGCTCGCAACGTCTTCTACGAGCTGGAGGACGTCCGGTGGGCTTGGCCCCGGGGGGATGCGGGTGGGCTGCCCCACGCTCCTCCTCTGCGGGGTACTGGACCCTGTTGGCCCTTCCTCAGCCCCTTCCTGATCTGACCTCAGCCTTTCCCCTCCCTTCCTAGAGTCCTACCGCCCCGCCCCCTTCTTCGGACATCTCAGCCCCACCCCCTCTCTAAATCATCCACTTCCGCTGGTTCTCTTTGCTTTGAGCTAACCTGAAAATGGCGCCTGAGGTCAGGAAGAGGCCATGGTGGAGGCTGCTGGGCCTGTATGCTGGTGGCTGGCAGCCTGAGTGAAGGATTTAGGAAGGAGTTGGGGCTCCCGGTTCCTCTAGCCACCCCTCTTCTCTCTGCCTGGGGTAGCCGCCCCTCCTCATTGTGCACGGCTGGGGGATGGGTGGTGACCCCTCTGTCCCCCACCCTCAGGGACATCCAGGACCGCAGTATTATCAAGATCTACAGGAAGGAGCCCCTCTATGCTGCTTTCCCTGGTTCACACCTCACCAACGGGGACCTCCGGGTATGGCTAGGCATCCCCAAAGCATTGGGGAGGCTGGGCACATGGGGTCCAGAGGAGCAGGGTCCGGGTAGTTGTCGTCGGGGGCCAAGGCCAGCTTGGGAGAAGGGAGCATAGGGCTGAGGGGTTAGGGAAGAGCCCCTCTCCCACCTGCTACTTCCCTTCTATTCCTGGCCTGTCCACTCGGGATTCCACTAACTTGCCCCCAGATAGTCTGAGGGCTCTCTCAGGAGCCATCCCTTTCCCTTCTACTTCCTACTCCTCACAGTAGCTGAGCTGAGGGTTTACCCCGCTGGTGCCTCTCCATCAGCCACCTTTTCCTCCATGCTGGGAACCCTGATGGAAAAGGGGCCCTACCGCAGCCGGATAGAGGGAGGGCAGAGAGCAGAAGGGACTTCCTAAGCGTCAGGGAGGAGATGCTGGCTTCTCAAGCAAGGGGCAGAGGTGTCCTTGGTGACCAGCTGTGGGGGTCTGGGCTGTCTTCTGCGCAGAGAGAGATGGTGTACGCGTCGCGGGAGTCGTCGCCCACGCGGCGCCTCAACAACCTGTCGCCAGCGCCGCACCTGGCATCCGGCTCGCCGCCGCCCGGGCTGCCGTCGGGGCTGCCGTCCGGGCTGCAGTCGGGCTCGCCGTCGCGCTCGCGCCTCTCGTACGCCGGGGGGCGCCCGCCCTCATACGCCGGCAGCCCGGTGCACCACGCGGCAGAGCGGCTGGGAGGTGCCCCCGCCGCCCAGGGCGTCAGCCCCAGCCCCAGCGCCATCCTGGAACGGCGCGACGTGAAGCCGGACGAGGACCTGGCGGGCAAGGCGGGCAGTATGGTGCTGGTGAAGGGCGAGGGCCTCTACGCCGACCCCTACGGGCTGCTGCACGAGGGCCGTCTGAGCCTGGCCGCGGCAGCTGGCGACCCGTTCGCCTACCCGGGCGCCGGCGGCCTGTACAAGCGCGGCTCGGTGCGCTCGCTCAGCACCTACTCGGCCGCCGCGCTGCAGTCGGACCTGGAGGACTCCCTGTACAAGGCGGCGGGCGGCGGCGGCCCGCTCTACGGCGACGGCTACGGCTTCCGCCTGCCGCCCTCGTCGCCGCAAAAGCTGGCAGACGTGGCGGCGCCCCCCGGAGGACCCCCGCCACCGCACAGCCCCTACTCGGGGCCACCCAGCCGCGCCTCGCCGGTGCGCCAGTCCTTCCGCAAAGACTCGGGCTCGTCCGTCTTCGCGGAAAGTCCTGGAGGGAAGACCCGCAGCACCGGGAGCGCCTCGACGGCCGGCGCTCCCCCTTCAGAGCTCTTCCCTGGGCCTGGGGAGCGCCCGCTGGTTGCGTTTGGGCCGCCAGTGCCAGCCAAGGACACGGAGACCAGGTGAGGGACATTCACCAGGCCTCAGGGATGGGGTGGGGGGATGGGGGAGCGCTGCAGAAAGGGGGCACGGCAGAGTCCGTGGCAGGTGTGTGGCCTGGACTGAGATTCCGTAGTCCTTTGGAGACATTGAGTAGTCTTGAAGGATCGCAGAGAGCATCTTGGATGTGGCAGGGCGGGCATTGGAGAGACCAGCTTGCCGTTTTCCTCCCATCCGCAAGACTCAAGGGGGTAGTTGAGAGGTCCCCAGATGAGGACTCTGGATACCTAGGTTTGCATCCATTTTCTGAGCCTCAGTTTCCCCAACTGTAAAATTGAGGGGCTGAACCACTTTCAGTGCCTTTCCAGGTTAGAATTTGCAGCAGTGAGAGCTGTCCAGCACCAGGCCAGCTGAAGTCCACTGGGGAGGAGGGTGCTGTTTAGAAATAGTGACGGGAAAGGAGCACATTTGGGTACCTAGACTCCAGGCTGAGAAGCCCCTGCCCATCACCCAGTCCCTTCCTAAGGGTGCAGGGCTGGAGGAGGTACCCAGGGCAGTAGATAACCTGCACCCTCAGGCAGCGCTGCTGAGCCGTGAGAAGAAGCCATTGGCCTTCACACAAACCCAGTCCCTCTCCTGGTCTAGTGGAGAGACACTCAAAATACTTTCCACTTCCCTTGGGTGGCATGGAAGGAGGGGTTCCTTGGGGCTTCTGGGTTCTTTGGAATGGTTTCGGGAGGCTCCCTCCTGAGCCCCAACAGTCTTCCCCCACCCTGCCTGGCAGATGGTCCCACCTGTCAGGAGGAGGTCAGGAGAAAAGCAGAGCAGACAGGGGAAAGCACTGCCAGGCATGAGAGACCACCGTGCAGCCTTAAGGGAGGGTGTGAAAGGTGAGGTGGGAGGCTGTGGGCTTGATCCTTAGGCATTGGGGCCCTTTGAGTTGTCTGTGTGTGGGCAGCCAGGAATGGGATATGTTTCCTCTGGTCACCAATCTTAGGGATGGGGGGCTGGGCAGGAGGGACCCTATGCAAGGCGAGGTTACTCAGACCCCCTTCCTCCCCAGGGAGCGCATGGAGGCCATGGAGAAGCAGATTGCCAGCCTCACAGGCCTGGTGCAGAGCGCCTTACTCCGAGGCTCTGAGCCTGAGACCCCCAGGTGAGGCCCCTCTCCCAACACCACTGCGAGGGCCTGGGGGTGGAGCAGGAGGAAGGGGAAATGGGCGTCGGCTCTGCCAGTGTCTCACTGGGTGACCCTGGGTGAGTCCCTTCCCTTCTCTGGGACTCCATCTTGAGATCAGAGAGCTGGAGGAGATGACATCCAAGGTCCCACCCAGCTCTGAAGGTCTGGGGCTGGCCTGGACCCCCTGATGCCTATCTTTTTCCCCTGTGCCACAGTGAGAAGATTGAAGGCTCCAATGGAGCAGCCACCCCCCCAGCACGTGAGTGACCCTTCCCCTCCCCCATCCTTGTTCCCTAGGGAGTCTGTTTTCCAATCTATAAAGTGGGGATTAAGCAATAGCTACATCACTGGGCTTTCAATGAATACATGAGTGGTCACCTTAGCCCAAGAGGTCTTTGCCCGGGCACTTTGGTCCCCACCCTTAGGGCCTTGGGGCAGGTAGTCAGAGCCATGGACTTCTCTGGCTACTCTGTGGGGTCGGAGAGTAGGGAGGACCTTGCTCCAGTCCTTCCCAGGCTTACAATTTGTTCATTTTCTCCCATCCTCGTGGTTCTCTGCAGCTTGCGGGTCAGGCGGCCGGAGCAGCGGGGCCACCCCGGTGTCCGGCCCGCCCCCGCCCTCGGCCGGCAGCACCCCCGCAGGGCAGCCTACCGCTGTTAGCCGGCTGCAGATGCAGCTGCACCTGAGAGGCCTGCAGAACAGCGCCAGTGACCTGCGCGGCCAGCTCCAGCAGTTGCGCAAGCTCCAGGTACCGCCCAGTCCCGGGCCCCGCCCCACCAACGCCCACCTACTGGTCGAAGTTCCTTCCCACAAATCCCGCCCCATCCCGTACTCCCTTATCCTTTCCCCAGACCTCCCACGCCCGAGTCCTTCGCCGCTCACTAGTCTCTCTCCGAACCCTTTCTCCCCTTCCCCTTTCTTGAGCTTCCGCCCCCTCGCTGAACCTCCGCTCCCCTCACTAAGCCCCTACCCCTCGCCCGTGTCCCCCTCATTGAGCCCTCCTTCTCCTTCCCTGAGTCCCCATAGCCCTCCTGGAGCCCCAGTCACCCACTGAGCCCCCTCCCTCGTCAGTATCCCTCGGGGCAGTTCCAGTTCCTTCCTGCCCTGCATCCCTTTCATGCTGCGAGAACCCTTCCCCCAAGTCCCCTCAGCTCCTCCCTCCTGAGCCCCGACAGCCTCCCTAGCCCTGCCGGGCAGATGGTCCCACCTGTCAGGAGCTTGGCATTGCCGTGTCCGCTCCTCAAGCGGGCCCAGGGCCTGTCAGGTGAGGATAATGAGCAAAGACAGGCTGGGGAGGGGGCAGAGAATTGCCATCTGGGCCCCGCCATTCAGGCTTGCGACCCGGTTGGATCAATCGTTAACTTAGTCTTCCTGTCCCAGCCACGGAAACTCTGTCAAACGCCAACGCTTGAGTCCTTCATTCCAGTCCCGTCCCCATTCAGGGATGATGGAAGCCACAGCCATGGGGCCCACACTGTCGGCAGTGCCCTACATAGGGCCACACCCTGTCCTGCAAATATCCCTACCCCCTTCTCCTGTCTCATATTCCCCAGAACTTAACCTTGTCCGCCCCCCGCTGCAATACCACCCCCTCACTGCTGCTGGAGGCCACAGCCATGCAGCTGCCCCTTTGCATGGCCCATTTTAACGCTCCCCGCTCCACGATCTCCATCCGTTCTCCTCCTGCCTCTGTTCTTCCCCAGAACTTAGCCCTCTGCCCCTGCCCTTCGCCATCCCACCCCTTCGCTGCTGCCCGAGGCGGAGCCAAGCAGCCGCATCTTCTGCAGAGCCCCGCCCTGCAGCATTGGGCAGTCCTCTACCGGCCTTCTCCCGGCCCTTCCCCTGCCGCGCGCCTCCGCTCCCCCCACCCGGGTCCATCCGTCCGTGCGTCCCGCAGCTACAGAACCAGGAGTCGGTGCGCGCGCTGCTGAAGCGCACGGAGACAGAGCTGAGCATGCGCGTGTCGGAGGCTGCGCGGCGGCAGGAGGACCCGCTGCAGCGCCAGCGCACCCTGGTGGAGGAGGAGAGGCTGCGCTATCTCAACGACGAGGAGCTCATTACCCAGCAGCTAAAGTGAGGCAGGGCTGGCGGCGGAGGGAGGGGTGGGGGTGCGGCCGGAGTGACTCGCAACCTGGTTTCCCTGGGAGGCGCAGCTCCCTTCCTTCTGAGTCACAGGTGACGTTGGTCTGTTCTGAAGTCTGATTTCATTCTCCTCTGGCCTGATTTATCTGTGACCCACAGACCTTTGACCGTCTGGCATTATTCCTGATTCCTTTTTTCTGGCTCGATGCCTGCTTTTGCTATGGCCTTGCTTACGGCTACAGCTTCCCTGTCATGTGGCCAGCTGCCTGATTTTCCTCTGCCCTCTGCCTACTTTCATTCTGGCCTGTAACTGTGCACAGTGACCCTCGGGTAGTGTGTTCAGGTGGAGCGTTCAGGTGCCGCCACTGCTCCAGCCTGGCGCTGACCGGCCACCATTGGCGATCCGATTCCCTGATCTCGGAGTCCAGATATAGCCAAGGAAAACCCAGCTTCCTTCCTAATGCGGCTGGAACAGGGCTGTAGTGTTTTCAGAAAGAAGGAGGTATTGTGAACACTCTGCCTCCGCATGCTTAGACATGGAGGGGTTAACAGAAGACAGTCTTCTGATCCAAATTTAGCAAATGGCTGTCTGGCCAACGATTTCATTGTCTGGCACCTTTGAAGGGAGATGCTGCCTTTCAGTGTCCATTCAGGGAGTGAGCACTCCCACCCTGCTTTCCCTCGCCAGTGATAGGGATCTGAGACCCAGGCCCCCTGCTCCTTCCTGTGGGCCCCCTCTTGGTGACACAGGGCACTAGGGGATCTGGAGTCCAGTGCCAGTGAGGGATGGAGTGATCAGGGCAGTTCCTGCCCCTCTCTGTGCCCCAGTGTCCTCATCTGTACTCAGCATTAAGCTTTTTGCCTCTTTTCAACAAGGGGTTGAGCTGTACTGGCCAGCGACTCCAGGAGCCAGGAGAGGCTGCCCTTGGAACCCAGCCTCCTCACCAAGTCATAAATGAGCCTGTTGCAAGGGGCTCCTTGAGATGGGTCACTCCTCCTCAGGCTGGGGCCCATGTAGCCTAATGGTACATGTGCATTTCAGCAAGGCCCAGGGCAGTGATTCCCATGACACCATGTGGCTGAAATAGGGTAAGGGGCCACCCCATGGGGACCTAAGCCAAGGGCAGCCACTCCATCATTCTAGGTGTGACAACTTAGTGATGACTCCAGCCAGATCTCCAGGCAGACTGGCAGGTGCCATCTCTCCTCATCCAGGGAATTCTATTTCCCCAGAGTTTCTATCCGTTCCTTGGCCCTTTTCATTCAGCCCAGAGGAGGGGGGTTGGAATTTTCAAAAGGAACTTCACCAAGACATTAAAGGGAAATTAAAGGAGATCTAAAAGCACAGAGGCAGGAGATATGAAAGGACAGATTTATGCTGTCATCATTATAAATGTTTGGTCCTTGTCTCCCTGAGGGCCTTGGTTCTCCAGGAACAGACTCTCCACCCCCTGCCCCATCATCAAACCCATTACTCAGACTGTTTACTTGAGAGAGCTTGGGACCTGCAGTACTGTTTCTGACAGGATTCTCCATCCTCCTGAAAGGGGGCTCCTGCCTCTCCTGGGCTCCAACCTGGCCATGAAGGCCCTCCCCGCCCAGCTCCCTTAGCCCCCCCAGGCTTTAACCCTGCAGCCCCCTTGCCCCACACTCTGGCCATAGCCCCTGTATACTTACTTTTGCTCCAATTTGCTATGCCCTTCCTCTTTTCTGGCAACTTGCTGGAAGTTAAAACTGGTTCTGTTCATTCAGCTTGGCTCACTCACCTGTCCATCTAGCCCAGCACTTAAGGTCTGTGTGGACGTTGCCTTTAGGGGTAGGCTCTGCTGACTGAAACCTTTTAGGTCCTGGAATCTACCTTTGCCTAACCCAGGGCCAGCTTTGTAGGTATGCCACCTGTGCAGTCATGCAGGCCTCTGTGCTTGGAAGGGCCCCATGCTTGGTGTAATGCTCTGCTGTTGCCATCTTGAAATTCTTAATCGTTTTTAAACTAGAGGTAACATTTTCATTTTGCATGGTGTCCCATAAATTATTTAGCTCGTTCCATCTTGACTCTCCCCTCTTGACCCCTCCAAGACTAAACCTGGGTTTGGAAAACCCAGCTGCTTTTTAATCCAGTGTCTAGACTAGCTGGTCTGGAACTCATTTGCAGAGCTTGCCCAGGTTAGAGGCCCCAAAACTTTGGCAGATTGGATGATCAGAAGATCAAGTGCCGATGGAGCTTAAGGGAAGCCTAGTTCCTCCTACCTGGGAGTTGCAGTGTTGTCACCTCCTGAAGGCTTATTTGAATCCTTTAAATGAAAGTCTCTTTCCCCTGTGAGTGATGTTTGGGAGTGACCATTTTATAAAACTGGCACAGCCTGGACCAGTCAGATGTCACATATATGAGCAGGGGACTTGTTCTTACCCATTTGGTAGCGCGAGGGCTGGGCTAGGACAGCGTATGGATTGGGAGCAGCGTGGGTGATAGTCTAGTGTGGAAATGAGATGTGGCAGAGCCGATGGCTGAAGTCAGATGTGAGTAGATCCTGCTTTGCCACAAAATAGCTGTGTGACCTTTGACTAACTAGTGAAAGTCTTTGAATATCTTTTTTTCCTTTTTTTTTTTTTAATGCCAAAGCTTTAGTTAGGATAGCTTATTAATTAGGGTACCTTGCTCTAACAAATAAGCTCTAAAATTGTTTAATAATTCAAAAGTAGGCCGGACGTGGTGGCTCACACCTGTAATACAAGCACTTTGGAGGCCAAGGCGGGCGGATCACCTGAGGTCGGGAGTTCAAGACCAGCCTGACCAACATGGTGAAACCCTGTCTTAAAAAATAATTATAATAATTTCAAAAGTAATAAATATATCTTTCTCATGGAACAGTATTGGGTGGGTTCGCAGGGTGGCTCTTCTCCATGCAGTCATTCAGGGACCCAGGCTGATGGAGGTTCTGCCATCTTCAACATGTGTTTTCCAAGATCACCCAGAAAGTTTCCAACCAACAAAAAAGGTGAAAGGAGTGTGGAGGAGCTTACATGGAGGTTTTTGTGGGCCAGGTCTGGAAGCAGCATGTGCCCCTCCCACTCACCTTCCACTGGGTAGACTTCAGTTAAATGGCCACTTTTCACCGCAAGGGAGGCTGGGATATGTAGTCTAGGATCTGAGCCACTGTTTGTCCGTGTGTAAGCTGAAGATAATAACTGTTCCCACCTCCAGGATTAATTAAAGTAATGAAAGCCAAGGGCTGACTGTGGCACCTGGCATACAGTAAGTGCATAAATACAGGATAGCTCTTTAACTGGTAGTGCTGCTGAGTCACAAGTTTTGCCCTTGACTCCAACCTAGTCTGTCTTTGCACCTGCTAGTTGGATGAAGACGTGTAAGGCATGCTGATAAGATTTGCTGATGACACAGAGCTTTAAGGGGGAGCAAATCTGTTGGATGGTAGAACTGAAATTCAAAAGTTGTTGGCACCTGGACTGAGCTGGAATCCAACAGATGGGATTTGACAGAAATGTACATAAAGTCCCAAATGTGGGTCAGGGATGTCAGCGACTCAAGTACCGAACTGAGATGACCTACCTGGGCAGCAGTTCCTTCTCTCCCTTGTTCATTCATTCCACAATTATTTCCCAGACATCTACTCTACACCAGGCACCATGCCAGGTGCTAGAAACGAACTGTATCTAGAAGACATGGTCCTTGCCAGCCTGGGGTTAGTAGTCCAGAAGGTTGCACAACCCAGCCAACAGGAGCTTCAGAGGTTCAGAGGGCAGGAAGCAGACCTAACAACTGCAGGGGGAGGGATTGGAGGAGAGCTTCCCACTGAGACCTGAGGATCACCGGGAGTTAGCACATGTGTGTGTGCATGTATGTGTATGGGTAAATGGAATATTCTAGGCAGAGAAAATAAAGAGCCAGAGAGGGCAGCATGTGTAGGACCTCAGAGCTCAGAGCAGTTCTTTTTTTTTTTTTTTTGATGGAGTTTCACTCTTGTTGCCCAGGCTGGAGTGCAGTGGCCTCAGCCTCCCAGGTGCTGGGATTACAGGCATGAGCCCCTGTGCCCGGCTGGACCTCAGGGCAGCTCTGAAGGGCTCTAAGCAGAAGCCAGATGGGACGGGGGACAGCGGCACAGAAAGCTAGGACAGCTCCCAGGCACTGAGCCCTTGCTGCCTGCTTTCCCATCTGCATTCGCCCCCATGAAAGGGAACCTCTTTTTTTTTTTTTTGAGATGGAGTCTCACTCTGTTGCCCAAGCCAGAGTGGAATGGCGTGGTCTCGGCTCACCCCAACCTCTGCCTCCCAAGTCCAAGCGATTCTCCTGCCTTAGCCTCCTGAGTAGCTGGGATTACAGGTGCATGCCACATGGCTGGCTAATTTTTGTATATTTAGTAGAGACGGGGTTTCACCATGTTGGCCAGGCTGGTCTTGAACGCTTGACCTCAGGTGATCCACTCACCTCGGCCTCCCAAAGTGCTGGGGTTATAGGCATGAGCCACCACCTGGTGGGGAACTCTTGCCATCCCTATTTTTTGGACGAGGAGGTTGAGGTCCAGACATATTACTTACCTTGCTGAAGCTCTCTCCTCTGGGAAGGGCAGAGCTAGGATGGGAGCTGGATCATTCTGACTCTAGAGCCAAGTTTTCTTTCTTTCTTTCTTTTTTTTAAGACAGAGTCTTGCTCTGTTGCCCAGGCTGGAGTGCAGCGGCGTGATCTCTGCTCACTGCAACCTCTGCCTTCCAGGTTCAAGTAATTTCTCTGCCTCAGCCTCCCAAGTAGCTGGGCTTACAGGTGCCTGCCACCATGCCCAGCTAATTTTTGTATTTTTAGTAGAGTTGGGGTTTTACCATCATGGCCAGGCTGGTGTCGAACTCCCAACCTCAGGTGATCCACCCACCTCGGCTTCCCAAAGTGCTGGGGTTATAGGCGTGAGCCACTGTGCCCAGCCTAGAGCCAAGTTTTCAACTACCACCTTCCTGCTCTTCTTGGTTGCATTGAAAAATTTGGATGTTAGCCTCAGGATGATAGGATCCATTTAGGGTTCAATGGCAGGAGTGATGACCTGGTCTGATTTATATTTTAGAGGAATATAGGGTCTTAAATGAAACAAGGTCAGCATATGCCAGCTGAAAAGCTAAAGCAGCTTTGGCCCTCGGAAAGAGGCCGTGTGGCTGGATCATTTGGGAGAAGGGCAATGGACATGTCAGTTTCCCCTGAGACAAGAGACCTCCCCAGGGGCATGTGCTGCTGCCTCCAGTTCTCTGAAAAGCAATCAAGTTCTCTCTGCTTCCTTGGCAGAATAGAATCAGGGGATACAAGTTACAATGAGAGATACCTGGGCAGATATTGCTGAGGATCAAAGCTTCCAAGGGGGGCAGATGGAGCAGGGCACCTCTTAGGGAGCGCTTCTCAAGTCTCCTCATCCCTGAGATTTGGCATTGCAGGTTTTGCTTGAGTATGTGGCCTGGTGGCTGACTTTTATGTTTGTTTGTTTTTGAGACAAGTTCTCCCTCTGTCACTCATGCTAGAGTGGAGTGGCACAATCATGGCTCACTGCAGTCTCAACCTCCTGGGCTCAAGTGATCCCCCTGCCTTAGCCTTCCAAGTAGCTGAGACTACAGGTGCCTGCCACTACGCCCAGCTAATTGTTTTATTTTTTAGTAGAGATGAGGTCTCCCGATGTTGCCCAGGCTGGTCTTGAACTCCTGGGTTCAAGTGATCCACCGGCCTCAGCCTCCCAAAGTGCTGGAATTACAGGCGTGACCACCATGCCTGGCCTCCTGCTTTTAATTTTGATCCACTGGTGGCCCGATTTCTTTCCAGCTGCCCAATTTCAGGGGGCTAGGCTGGCATCTCAGACCAAAAGGGCTGAGAGGGTCTCTCTGTGACTGCAGTGACCTGGAGAAATCGGTGGAGAAGATCCAGAGAGACGTGTCCCACAACCACCGGCTGGTGCCTGGCCCCGAGCTGGAGGAGAAGGCACTGGTGCTGAAGCAGCTCGGGGAGACTCTGACGGAGCTCAAGGGTGGGTCTGGGGCCTGTGAACGCTGTGCGAGGTCCAGGGCGGGGGAGTCTGCTGTACTGCCACCACCATCCTCTCCTCCCAGTCAGCAGTGCTCCCTCTGGCCCCGGCTCACGCCTTCCTGTCTCCTTAGCTCATTTCCCAGGCCTGCAGAGCAAGATGAGGGTGGTGCTGCGCGTGGAGGTGGAAGCGGTGAAGTTCCTGAAGGAGGAGCCTCAGCGCCTGGACGGGCTCCTCAAGCGCTGCCGTGGGGTCACGGACACACTGGCCCAGATCCGAAGGTCATTCTGTCCCTGACCTCTAATTTCCCATGGGATCACACACCCGGCCCAGACCCATAGGTCAGACTGAACCCTTACCCCAACTCCCCCGAAGGTCACCGGCATGCCGATGGACCGGCACCTCAGCTCCATGCAGTGACCCCTGCATGCTGTAGACTCAGCTTCCTCTTATTTAGGGGCGGTCACTCCTCCCCAGGCCCTCCACCTCTCCTGCAGCATCCCAGAGCCTGCCTCCTACCCCATCTCCCTCAGGCCAGCCTTCCCAAAGAAGGGCCGCCACCTGCTGGGCTCACAGCTGTTCCCAACTCTTCCAACCTCAGGCAAGTGGATGAAGGTGTGTGGCCACCCCCGAACAACCTCCTGAGTCAGTCCCCCAAGAAGGTGACGGCAGAGACTGACTTCAACAAGAGTGTGGACTTCGAAATGCCACCCCCCAGCCCCCCGCTGAACCTTCACGAGCTGAGCGGGCCAGCTGAAGGAGCCTCTCTTGCCCCAAAAGGGAGCAACCCCACCAAAGGCCTGGACACTCCTGGCAAGAGAAGCATGGACAAGGCTGTGTCTGTTGAGGTGCTGGGGCCAGGGATTGTGGGTGGTGCCCTGAGCTAGGTTCACACATTCTTACCACCATCCTTCCTAGGGTGGGGAGTGCCAATCATGTGGGTCTTTTTCCTTGGGGGAGGAGGGCCAGTGCCCTCATGGAAGTCTAAGAAGCATAATAAGGGTAACATTAGTCCCACTAGACAGAAAGCATATTATAAAGGTGCAATAATTAAAGCAGTATGATGTTTGCCCAAGAGTAGACTTTGTAGTCAAAGAAACAATAGAGTTCCCAGAAATAAGTCTTAAGTTTATCACGAATGTAGTATATAATGAAGGTGGCATTCCTAACCCATGAGAATGGCATGTGATACCCACGTGAAGTCGAAGGGTCTTCCTGGAGGTGGGATTAAATCGGAGGCTTCCTTCCCTGCCTGTATGGCTGTGGGGAGGAGGCTGAGGCCCCAGAGGTCCTGGAGCAGGAGAGCTACCTCAGTCCTGACTCCTGGCCCCCTCTCAAGGCTGCAGAGCGAGACTGGGAGGAGAAGCGAGCAGCCCTGACCCAGTACAGTGCCAAGGACATCAACCGGCTGCTGGAAGAGACACAGGCGGAGCTGCTCAAGGCCATCCCTGACCTGGACTGTGCCAGCAAGGCCCATCCAGGCCCAGCCCCCACTCCAGACCACAAGCCCCCCAAGGCCCCCCACGGCCAGAAGGCAGCCCCCCGAACAGAGCCCAGCGGGAGGAGAGGCTCAGGTATGGGGAGCAGTAGGGATGGTGGGGAGCCCACCATGGGGGAGTGCCCTCCTTGGGAGCTCAGGCTGACAGGGCAGCACTGGGGCATCAAGATCATTGTGGTTGGGCTGCCAGACAAGGGAGTCCCGGTCTCACCACTAAAGGGAGACCAAGACCCAGAAGGACAGGGCAAGCTGACTTCATCCTGGGCTTTTCCCACCGTCGTGGGACGGAGCCACTGAGAGGACCAGGCATGGAAGATGAGCAAGTCCAGGCAGAGTTATCCGCCTCCACGACGTGGCTGGGCGCATGCCACAAACCAGGCTGTGCTGAGGGCAGGCTCCAGCGCTGGTACTGACACGGCTCCATGCTCCGCTCCCCAGCTTAAGTCATGGTCGCAGGGCAGGCAGAAATCCGGACCAGAAGTGGCAATCATCATTCCTTCACTTTATTCATTCCTTCAGTGCATATTTGTTAAGCACCTACTGTGTTCTGGGTGCTGGAAATATAGAAATAAGACAGGGCTTGCTTTCAAGGAGCTCAAAATTTAGTGAGGGAAATAATACTGACATTTGTGTTTATCATGCACTTACTCTGTGGTAAGAACTGTTCCAATGCTTTTAATGTATTCGTCCTTATAATTTTATAACAAGCCCAGGAGGCAGATACAGTAGCTAGTCCCATTTTACAGATGAAGAGACAGGCTTAAAGTGAGTAAGTAATCTGTGCCGGGCCATGCCTAGTCTGTAAAGAGAACTAGCATGCAGGTGCTAAATGGAGTACCAGGGGTGAATGCCCTTGCTGTGCAGTCCTGGCAGAGGCCCTGCGAGGGCAGGAAGCCTTCCCAAAAGAGGTGACTTTTCAAACCCCCCACCCCACTCACCCCCACCTCTCCCCCTCTTTAAAAAAAAGAGGTGACTTTTCGCTGAAGTCTTGCAAATGAGTGGGGCACTTACCTAGCCAGTGAGAGAGGGCACTCCAGGGTGAGGGAACAGCATGTGCAAACCCCTGGAGGTGTGTGTGTGGCGTGGCCTGAACAGGGTCTAAGCCGGGGTGCAGCAGGTGGAGCTGAGGCTGGAAGCTTGGCAGGTGCAGAGGTGCTGGCCTAAGGAGGTTGGACATGGTTTGGGGTGATGGGGAGCCACTGCAGGATCAAAGGCCAGGGAAATGGCACTGTGAGAGTGACCTCTCTGCAGGTTACTCTGGGAACAGGAGTGGAGGAAAAATCCAGGGAAAGGAGAGCCCAGTGGGAGGGGCTAGGATCTTTGGAGGAGCGATGGAGAGCTGAGCAAGAGTGAGGGGCAGGGGGAAGGAGGGGGTTAGAGCAGTGCCTCTCCAGCTTGAATGTACGTCCATCACCCCGGGATCTGTTCAGCCGGATTCTGGTTTAGCAGCCTGGGGGTGGGGCCTGAGCGGCAGTTGTGACAAGCTTCCGGGTGCTGCCTGTGCTGCTGGTCCACAGACCACCCTTGGAGTCGGAAGAGTGGGTGCTGTCAGGAGAGGGCCAGGGCTGGGGCTGGAGTGCAGGAAGAAGAGGAGGAGGGCCCTGTGTTCTTGCCCCCAGGCTTTCCGCTTCCCTCCTCCTGGTCCTCTGTGGAGGAAGAGGCAAGGTTTATTCCCTTCAAGTTAGATGCAGCGAACTGACTCCAGGATTGCAGGCCCTCTGACCCCCAGCCCCTTGGTGCCTGCAGATGAGTTGACAGTGCCCCGATACCGCACAGAGAAGCCCTCCAAGTCGCCCCCGCCGCCCCCTCCCCGCCGGAGCTTCCCCTCCTCTCATGGCCTGACCACCACACGCACTGGAGAGGTGGTGGTCACCAGCAAGAAGGACTCGGCCTTCATCAAGGTACCACTCCCCCCTTGGACAGAGGGCCCTGGGACTGAGTTAGGATGAAGCTTCAGATGACTTCTGCAGACCCTTTGGGGTGGGAAAGAGACCCCTTTCTCAGAGGACATGGAAGGAAAGAGGGGGTGGCAGGTGGTGACTTTGTTGTGCTAGTTTGGGACCCTGGGTATGTGTATTTGCCTTAATTTCATGTCAGGCCCCTGCCCGTTGGGGGACACCCTGGCAGGGGACAGCAGAAGTAGCAGATGAGAAGCTGGGTGGATGGGAGATGGGTGAGGTGAGCTGGTGCTGAAGGGAGGCAGAGCCTGGCCCTGACAGGGGTCCCGGGCCTTGCAGAAGGCCGAGTCCGAGGAGCTGGAGGTGCAGAAGCCCCAAGTGAAGCTGCGCCGGGCAGTGTCCGAGGTGGCCCGCCCGGCCTCCACACCACCCATCATGGCCTCGGCCATCAAGGACGAGGATGATGAGGATCGCATCATCGCAGAGCTGGAGGTGGGTCAGGACCCGCCTGGCCCCCGAGGCCTCAGCCAGACCCCCTTCCCTGCCAGGCTGCCCCCAGGCCAGGTGACATGAGGCGGAGGATGGGCCCTGGGGCTTCCCGTGGAGCACTGGCTGTGCTCAGACCCCAGCCTTCTTGCCTCCATTTCTTCACTGCAAAATGAGGGGTGGGGGTCTCAAGTCTTCTCTCCTTGCAGGTTTGAGTTTTTAAATTGTAGTCCCTGAGTCCCCCAAGTATCGGCAGACCTCCTGCACTCTGAAAGCCCCACGCCCGAAGAATCTGAGATCACCGAGTTTGGAGACCCCCAGCCCTGAGTGTTCCAAGATCAGCTCATGCTTGAGCCCCCCAGGCTTGAGTATTCTGAGGGCAGAGCTCTGAGGCTCACACCTCATGCCTCCACTCTCCCCGTGGTGTCAGTCACCACACTCAAGTGTTCTCAGCCACTCCCAGCCCCAGTGCCAGAGACCTGGACTACCAGGGCCTCTGGAGGAGGTGACCAAATGAGGCCAGAGAGGGCTGGTGGCCATGGCAAGGGACCAAGGGGTGAGGCTGGGGGCCTGATGCCATCCCAGGCCACCCTCCCCAAGGGTGCCAGGGCCACAGGCCAGCACCCCCGTCCTCCCTGGTACCCCCTCCTCCAAACCTGTCCCCACCTTCTGCTCCTCAGGTGTTTGAGAGAAGCTCAGTGTCTTCCCTCCCCCCCACGCCCCGCCGCCAGCAGATCCCCACCTTGCTGTCCCCCCAGGACCTGGGGCCCCCCAGGGGCTCAGCCCTGGGCCCTACACGGAAGGTAACGGGGCTGCCCCCCACTTCTCACAGCTCTCTCTCTGCCTGTGCCTCCACAGCTTCCTCTCACCTCTCACGCTAACCTGCTAAAACGCCAGTCACCGTCCTGAGTCCCGCCACGGCCACAGCCACTGCCACAGCGTCATACGTGGACTTACCCCTCCCCCACTCCAAGGACAGGCGCATAACCCTTCCTCCCCGCTGCCTGCTAGGGGGGATCCCCGAGACTCCAGCAGCCTGGGTGTCTGGTGGCCCCTTGTGTCTGCATTTTCTCATGGGTTTGCCGATGGGGGCTGGAGTATTTTGTTCTGGTTCACAGTCTGAGCTTAGGTCTGGACTGAAAGCTAAGTATGGTCTTGGGCCAAGACTGGAGTTTGGATCTTGCTGACAGGATGACTTTGGGTCCAACTCAAAATCTGACCTTGTCCTGAGCCCTTGCCTAGCCCCCACCTCCATCCCCACTGCTCTGCTGCCTGTGCCGGGAGGGGCTCTGTTTCCCCACTAGAATCTATGCCTTGTGCTGGGGGTCAGGACACCGCAGGGGCAGGCCCGTCTGCAGCCTCACCATCCCCATGGCCCACGTTGCTTTCTTTGACAGAGAGCTTGGAATGGAAGAAACCCATGCCGGTCCTTGGCTGCCGGTTCTTTCTGCATTGGGAAGTTCTTCCTTCTCTCTAACCTCAGTTCTTGCTGCTGTCCTGCTGAACTTATTTCCTCTTTATTCTTTCCTGGGAATTTGGGGGTGAACCTGCTGTCTGCACCCCACCCCTGGGGACTGTGCTTGGGGAGGAGGGAAGGGGGAGGATCTGGGAATCTGGCTGAGGCAGGGGGACCTTTGCTCTGGGGAGGACAGCCTCCCATGTGCACACACTCCCTTTCTGGGTCTCCCTGGCTCACAGTGAACGCTGGGCTGGCGGCCACCTGATTTCTAGCCTGGCTGGAGGCCTGGTGGCACTTTGGTTTCCTGGCGGGGGAGGAACAGAGGGGCATCAGACAGCGGACAGTGCCTCCTGCTGGGCAGGGGATGGGCACAGGGCAATGCGAGGAACCTCTAGGATGAGCTGTGTGGAAGGAGCGCCTCCTGGGCTGGCTGTGCCCCCAGCACTTTGGCCCCTCCCATCCAAGCCCTGCCCCTTTCCGGCTCTGGAGGCCAATCCTGAGGGGCCCAGTGGATGAGGCCTTTTGCCCCTGGCCAACCCTCTGCATCCTGCAGCCACATCGGGCAGTGGAGCTGGGCGAGCGTGAGGTCGCCCTCTCTGCCTTCCCAGTCAGCACCCCCTGCTTCCAGGTAAGTAGGTGGTAAGGCTGGGTGGGTTCCTTTGCAAGGGGGTGGTTGGGGGTCCCTGCTACCAGCTCCCATCTCCCTATGGCTCCCTTTAGTGGAAGGAGCACTGGCCTTGGAGTCAGACTATCTGGGTTCAAATCCAGGCTCTGCCACTAACTAGCTGTGGGTGGGTGACCTTGGGTGAAGCATGTAACCTCTCGCTCTGGTAAGAGCAGCAGTCACTTCACAGGTTAAGGTAGGCACTGAAGGTGAGGATGGGTGTGGCCACGCCTGGCACAAGCCTGGTGCTCAGAGTTAGACCAGGATTTCACTGACGTCAGGAAGTGGTATTTGGGGCCTCCCTCTGTGTCCTCACTGAGGCCATATGCTGGGATGCTGGCACTGGAGCAGGTGCCCAAGGAAGCTTTGCCCGAGTGTGTGCAGCAGAGGGTTTGGCAGGAGGCGAGCCCCACCCATCTGGCTGTGAAGCTCTTGGGGAGAGCACACAAAGTTGGGGGGGACCAGAAGTCTATGGTTTGAGATGGGATGTGTCCCCACCCTCCAAGGCCAGAGGCTGACATGTGGTCTCTGCCCACACAGGGTCGAAGGTCTTGGTCATTCCATTCATTTCAACAAATAGCTAATATTTCTGAAGCACTCACTCCATGCCCGGCGAGCTCACTTAACCCTCCACCAGCCCCACCTTGGTGCTTAGTCACAGATGGGCACACTCCCGGGGGCGACACTGAGACCAGCCCCTGGAGCTTACATGGGCGGTGTGAACTAAACGTTGCCTGCCCCTGGGCAAGCTAGCACCTTTCCCAGAAAGCAGGGGGCCATGCGGTATGGAGAGAAGACACCTGAATTCTGGTCCCAATTCTGCCTCCAACTTACTGGGTAGCCTCTCTCAGGACCCTCCCTGCCTCAGTGTCCCCATCTGTGAAAGAAGGGGGCTAGGCTCACCTAACTGTAACCCCCCTTTTAGCTTGGGGTTTGGTTGTAGGAATCACATGCTGCTTCATCTTCCTTCTGCCCCCAGGCTGTCCCAGGTCCCAGGGCCTTCTGCATCCCGAGGATCATCTTGACAGAGTATGCCCCCAACCCTCCCTCCACGCCAGAGATCAGACTTGAGGAACCAGGACCCAGGACAGCTCCTACCCCAAAACCTCGGACCCTGGCTGACAGCAGGAGGGGCTGGGATGGCCCACAGGCCCTGCCAGGGGCAGTCGGGGAGACTCCCGGGCCAAGGAGTGGCTTCATGCCCCAGAAGGAGGGGGCAGTTCTGAAGACACTGGGCAGAGGAGGCTGCAGCCCAGAGGATAAAGGAGCCAGGGTCCCCGGGCCTCAGGGACCAGCCCAGGATGGGACTCCGGAGACCTCTACTGCTGACACCTACCCAGAAAAGACCCTCAAGGACTCTGGACATGATGTCCAAACGTGCAGTAGGGAGTGCCAGGGCCAGGCTGCCGCCAGCTCAGGCTGCACTGCATGGGGCGCCACCGCCCAGCGGATGGACAGCCTGGAGGAGACGCTCCGGGAGCTGGAAGCCACCCTGGGCAACATGGGCACAGGCCTTGCTGTGGGGCCCCCTGACAGCCCTCCATCCCTACCCCTTGGCCCCCAGGTGGCTGCCCCCTCTTAATCCTCCCCTGCTGCCCTCCTGCTCCATTCCAGAGTCGGACAGAGTAGCGGGCAGCAGGAGTGCCAGGCCAGCCCCCTCCTCCCACCAGCCTTCTCTCAGCTCTTACTGCTCTGCTGGAAGCCTGGTGCCAGAGCAGGGTTTGCAGGCAGAGTCCGGGGGAGGCTGGGAAGCCGGTCTACCCAGGGGTCGGCCAGCCCCCAGCTTTGGCAAGAACCAGGGCCTCTCCCCTTCTGCCCTGTACCTGTAAAGCACCTAATAAAGTTTTCTCCCCACCTTCCATCCCCATGCTCCCCTCCCCTGCCGTCTGACTTTCTGTCTCTGTCCCCTCTCTGCTCGCGCCTCTGGATCCCCAGTGTCCCCTGGGCAGGCCTGGTACTTGGGGAGGTTCATGGGGGCCAAGCTTGCCCCCATGGGAGACCTCACCTCCATCCTCCCATTAGGAGGAGGATGTGGCCTGAGGCCGCCCGTCTGTTCTGTGTGCCGTTATAGAGAGCCCCTCGCTGGCATGTGCACCCAGGTCCAGACGGTACCCCTTGCCGGGAGCGGGGGCACTGCTGGGGACCCTCACTTTAGCAGAGGCTCCCCAAGAAGGGTATCAGCTGCCCCTGGGCTACTCAAGGAAGCCACCAAAGAGTGTCCCTCAGGAGCCGCTGGGAAGCTGGCTGGGCAGCACCCCCACTCTCCTGCAGGGAGGCCGTAAATGGGGGCTCAGAGGGTGGGCCTGGGTCCTGGACTGGGATGTGGAGCCAGAGAGGGGTCTCCAGGTCTCAGAGGGCCCCACTGAGGAGGTGCCAGCCCGAGACCCAACCCAGTGCTAGGGTTCTGGTGTGGTTCACCCCACGCGGACCCTGCAACCCTGTTCCTCTTCTTGCAGAGTGGCGGAGGCAGTGTACCGCCCATGAAGGTGGTGACTCCGGGGGCCTCTCGGCTGAAGGCAGCCCAGGGCCAGGCGGGCAGCCCCGACAAAAGCAAGCATGGCAAGCAGAGGGCCGAGTACATGCGGATCCAGGCCCAGCAGCAGGTGAGGGCAGGGACTGTGGGGCCACCTGGGCCCGCTCTGTGGCATGCCGGGCCCCTGCCCTGCGCTGGGCACCTCCTGCCCCTGCTCCCGTGACCAGCTTCCCCCGCCTCTGCCCAGACACACCCTCCCTGCCAGAACTGCCCCACCCACCCTCTGAACCATCTTCTCCCTCCTCCTCCCGATCCCGGAGCTTTAGATCTGGATTAGAACCTGAGTTCCCAACCTGGCACCCCCCCCTCAGGAGTCCCCTCACTCAGAGACAGAAGACTCATCTCCAGCTACCACTGCTGCTCCTGGAGGAGGGGTGAGCTGGTCGGTTTGAGACTCCAGAAGCCCCAGCGTCTGGGTCCCTTCTCAGGCCCAGACTACCCTGGGATGCATAAGGGGGATTAGGGGCCCTTTCCTTCTTGCCACCCCAGTTCTCTCTTCTGCTTCCCCTCCCTGTTCCCAGCCTGCTCTTCCAGACCCCACTCTCATCTCAGGCTCTCTCTTAGCTCTTAGGCCACCCCTAGCCAAGGGAGAAGCCAGCTTTGCATCTGCCTTTCAGCCTTGTGTTTGGGTTTCGGTGGGGTCACCTCCCGTCTTTGCAAGGTGAGGTGGGGACAAGGGAGAGGCACTTTGGCCCTCAGGAAGGGCAGGGTGCCAAAGGAGTTGCAGGGGTGCTGCAGTCTCTTTCAGATCTAATGAGCAGGTGTGGGGGCTGCGTAGAGTGGACAAACCTCACCCATGGGTGTTTACTGCCCGTGGCCTGCCTGTGTGGCCTGGTCAGAGGTGCAGGGTGGCCCCCAGACCTAGTTGTGAGAGACAGTGCTCTCATTTGGGTCAGTGAATGTTTCTGAGCAGCTCCTGTATGCCAAGCCCATCCTGGGTGTGAGGGTGGGGTCTGTGATATGTCCAGATGCTCTCACTTGAAGAAGGTTCTAGACTCAGAGCAAGAGGTTAGAAATGGGTTAGTCCATCTCCTTTTCAGATGAGGGGACAGCTCAGAGAAGGGACGGGCTTTCCAAAGGTGCAGAGCAAGGGGGCATCACAGCCAAGATCAGGACCCAGGAACCCTGGAACCTTTCCCTGCACTGGCCCTGGGACACAGCCCTGGGCACCCAAGGCCCTGCCTCCCTGCTGGCTCCCAGGAGAACCTCTCAAAGACCAGCCCTCCAGCCCCCCATAGCCTCTCCACAGCTCCCCACCTGCCTCCTCATGGTCCCCAGATACACTGCGAGTCTTACCCACAGCTCTTTTCCTGCCACTGCCAGGGATGAGTTCCCCTGGTCCTGTCCAGGTGCCCAGCATAGCAGCTGACATTGACAGAGCTTTCGCTGGGGCCAGGAACCTGTGTTACCTCATCTCACACTCACCACAGGAAGGTCTATTACCCCCATGTGACAGGTGAGGAAACAGGCTTAACCCAAGGCCACACAGCTGGCAAGTGGGGGGCAATACACCAGTCCAGACTGCCTCCCTCCCCACTGCAAAGAGCTTCATCCTCTCTAGCAGGCCCTGCCCTCAGCTCTAATCGTGCTCCCGTTTCCCACCCTAGCCCCTCGCTCCCCAGAGCCCAGCTCCTCGGCTGTGGTGTTAGCCTCACGCCTTTATGGCCCAGCCTCCACCCTTCCCGGGCTTGCCTGGGTCCCCAGCGGCATCCAGGTGTGCTCTTTCCACCCCCTCCCACACTGCTCTGCAGCGCATGGCTGTGTAGACCCCCCACACCTGCATAGGGCTGTGCAGACCCTCTGTTCCTCAGCATCCTCTCCCCAGCCTCCATCCCCAGCTTCAGGGCTTCTTTCTGGGTGGGCGACTCTTTTTTTTTTTTTTTTTTTTTTTTTTTGAGATGGGAGCCTCACTCTGTCATGCAGGCTGGAGTGCAGTGGTACAATCTTAGTTTACTGCAGCCTCCGCCTCCGGGTTCAAGTAATTCTCATGTGTCAGCCTCCTGAGCAGCTGGGACTACAGGCGTGCGCCACCAAGCTGACTAATTTTTGTATTTTTAGTAGAGACAGAGTTTCACCATGTTGGCAGGCTGTTCTCCAACTCCTGAGCTCAGGTGATCCACCGGACTCAGCCTCCCAAAGTGCTGGGATTACAGGTGTGAGCCACCACACCCAGCCTGGGCGACTCTTCTCTTCCCGCCTCTTTCCTTCCCTGTGCCCACTCCTCAGCCTCTTCTCACACCATTCTTTCCTCTCCTCAGGCACCAGGCACCGCTTAGTCCCTGCCCCGACCCAGGTCTCCGCTCCAGTCACCCACACACACCTCCCTGTGCCCCCAGGCTCCTTGAACAGACACAATGCCCCCCCTCCCGCCCCAGCTTACTAGGCTGCCCCAGCTGCTGTCCCTCTCAGGAAGGATCGCCCACCCCAGACTTGCCGAGCCCCTCCCTGCCCCTGTCTCACTTCCAATGCTTCAGTAGGCTTTCTTACAAACAGCTTCTTTTTTGTTGCCCAGGCTGGAGTGTAATGGCGCCATCTCGGCTCACTGCAACCTCCGCCTCCCGGGTTCAAACGATTCTCCTGCCTCAGCCTCCTGAGCAGCTGGGATTACAGCCGAGCACCACCACACCTGGCTAATATATATATATATATTTTGCATTTTTAGTAGAGATGGGGTTTCACCATGTTGGTCAGGCTGGTCTCGAATTCCTGACTTCATGATCCGCCCACCTCAGCCTCCCAAAGTGCTGGGATTATAGGTGTGAGCCACCGCGCCCAGCCACTACTTCTTTCTGGTAAAGTAATACATGTTTCCTGTGGAAATTTTAAATAGTAAAGTATAGAGAAGCAGGGAAAAACCATCTATGTCTTACCCACATGCATGGTCTTCTAAGATCTCCCTGTGACTTCTGTCACCTCTAACTGATTTCCCAAGGCCTTCGAGTGGGAAGGAAACTGCAAAATGCAGATTTGATTGTCTCTGGTGTCGGACACACACACACACCCCTGCTAGCTTAAAATCCCTGCCCCGGCCCCTGGTGGATGATAAGCCCAATCCTTCGTGTGCAGCCCAGGCCCTTCACAGCAGCCTCAGCTCACTGTGCTCCTCCGCCCCACGCCCTCCGCATGCTCCAGCCACGCCGGCCACTGGTGGGACATGCTCCACGCCAGCTCAGCCCATGGCCTTGGTCAAGTCCTCTCTCTTCTCAGGCCCTTCCTCATCTGTACAATGGGGACAGAAGTATCCAGCCAGGTCCTGAGCTCACGTAGTGCCAGGTGCAGGAGAGAGCTGGGAAAACCACCACGAGCTCTACGGGGTGGGGGTGGGGGTCGGCGCCCAAGGCCTCTCCTTCACCCAGTGAGCCTAAGCTGTCAACAACGTTGAGGTGGAGGGGACTAGAAGTGCCGGGATCAGGGACACGGAAATTGGGAGTAAGGAAGTTCTAAGTTGCAGGTGCCTTGCTACAGTGCCTGACCCCACGGGGCAGTCAGAGGAAGAGAAGCCCATGAATGTTGTGCTTTAAGAGCCCAGGGAGGGATGGGAGCCAGGTTCCCAGGCCTGCAAGGATCAAGGGCTTGGTGGTGACCTGAAGCTACGGACACCCCCTCTTCTATTAGGGCTAAGAAATCTGCCGTGACTCAGTGTCCTTGTCTGTAAACGGAGCTAATAGTATGAGCTAGGACTCATAAGCCTATTACTAAGAATTAAATATGATCTAAGTAAAGAGTGTACCCAGTGCCTGGCGCGTGGAGCTGATTTCTTCTGCTTACTGCTATTTGTTTTCTTTGAGACTGAGCTTCGCTCTGTCACCCAGGCTGGAGCACAGTGGCACGATCTTGGCTCACTGCAACCTCTGCCTCCCGGGTTCAAGCAATTCTCCTGTCTCAGCCTCCCAAGTAGCTGGGATTGCAGGCACATGCCACCACACCAGGTTAATTTTTGTACTTTTAGTAGAGACGGGGTTTCACCATGTTGGCCAGGCTGGTCTCGAACTCCTGACCTTGTGATCCACCCGCCCTGGCCTCCCAAAATGCTGGGATTACAGGTGTGAGCCACCACACCCAGCCTTTATTTATTTTTATATTTTTTTTAGTAAAGAGGGGGTTTCACCATGTTGACCAGACTGGTCTCAAAGGCCTGCCTTGGCCTCCCAAAGTACTGGGATTACAGGTGTGAGCCATTACATCCGGCCCCATATGAAGAAACTTTAATCAAAGGACCACACCAGAGGATTGAGGGAGCAAACAAGGGACTCCCTGGGGGAAGAGCAGTGGGGCAGGTGTTTAGAGAGTCCCAGAGGGTGGGAGCAGCAGAGCTGTGCTGTGGACGGCACAACTGTGGCCTGTGACACTGCTCCAAGGAGGAGAGAGCAGGGAAGGAACTTCACCCCCTCCCTCTCTCACCCTGCCATAGACCCCACTGCCCAAAACCCAACCAGAGGCCAGTCAGCAAAGGAATGACCGGAGTCAGCCTCTCAGGGTACACAGCAGGGCAGAAATTAGTTCTGGGAGAGCGGGGGCAGTGGCTCATGCCTGTAATCCCAACACTTTGGAAGGCTAAGACAGGAGGAGCACTTGAGGCCAGGAATTCAAGACCAGCCTGGGCAATACAGTGAGCCGCCATCTTTTTGGAAAAAAAAATGAAATACAGAAATTGGTTCTCGGGCATGGAGAGACAAGTGAAAGACAGATAGCATACCTGTTAGGTACCGAGTGTATGCACCTGTTTTATTCCTCATAACAACTTTATACCTTAAACTATGTTGTCACAGCTGCATCCCCACAGCACCTAGAATAGTGCTTGGCATATGTAGGCACTCAGTAAATAATTGTTGGGTGAATGAGTGAATGAGTTTGCCACTGATCAGGCCCAATCCAGATGGAAACAGACAAAGCGAATATGACAGGTGAAAATAGCAATCACCATAATGGCTACCATTTGTTGCACGTGTACTGCAGGTGCCGGCCCCGGGCTTCACGCCCTGTTGGCTTCATCTCATCGTGCACATCAGGTGCTATGGGGCCTGTTATCCTTGTTTGCAGGTGAGACACGAAGGCCTAGAGAGATACACGATTAGGGTCATATGGCTAAAAAGTGACGGAGCGGGGACTTGAACCCAAGTCTGCCTGCTACAAATTCTGCTGTCTTAGTGCTGGATTCTGTTGGCCTGCCAGGAAGCATAACCTCGTGGGTGTGAGCAAGCCTCCGTGAGATCATGAGAATTCTAGAAGGTGACACCTTAAAAAAAAAAAAAATGAAGGTTGAATAGAACAGTAAAGCAGTGCTGGGCCTCAGGTGTATCAGTGGGAATGCTTTCAGCTGCAAGGAACAGGCACTCTGATTCAAAATGGCTTAAACAATAAGGAAAGGTATTCTCTAACCAGGAAGCCTGGAAGCGGGGAGATTCCAGGGTTGGCGAATTCAGCAGCTTGAGGATATCAGGACACAAGTTTCCTTGCATTTGGTCCTGCTGTCATTTCTATTATTATTATTTTTGAGAAAGGGTCTTACTCTGTCACCCAGGCTGGAGTGCAGCGGTGCGATCACAGCTCACTGCCACTTCCACCTCTTGGGCTCAGGCATTCTACCTCAGCCTCCAGAGAAGCTGGAAGCACAGGCACACACCATCACACTCAGCTATGTAAGATTTTTTTTTTTTTTTTTTTTTTTTTTTTTTTTTTTTTTTTTTTTTTT